GACTGATAGACAGACTGATAGAGTGATAGACAGGAGAGTCACAGGCAAAGAATAAGTCATCCAAGATTTTCCCCTCAACACGTAACTCATTCACAGACGGAACGAGGAAGCGAGGAAGGGAGGGAGGGAGGGAGGGAGGGAGGGAGGGAGGGAGGGAGGGAGGGATGAAGGAATCCCAGCTTTGCTCCATTAACAGTGGAACCGAGGGAGGAACTCAGGGAGGGGAGGAATGAATAAAGAGAGAGAGAGCGAGGGAGGAGGGTGAAGGTAAAAGTTGGAAGTGCTATGAGTCACAGAGCGAGATGGGAGGAGACTGGAGTGGAAGAGGGAGAGAGAGAGAGATGGAGTGAGGTATAATTATGGTAGGAGGCTGCCAGGGCGAGAGAGAGAGAGGAGAGAGAAGGGGAGGGAGGGAAAGAAAGACGAGAGCGAGGAGAGAGAGAGTCCAGCCCACTCCGGTAAAACCATTCAACTGGTGAGCAAGGGAATGCATTCGCCACAGAGAGAGAGAGAGGAAAAGAGGTAAAAGAGAGAGAGAAAGGAACTCCCTTCGTCTGGGAAAACTTAGTGAACACACACTCTGAACACACTCTGCAGCGACTTCATCAAGGATCCTTCTGCTCGCCACCGTTCCTTCTATGCTTTTTCATCATCCATTCATCACATCTGAGTTTTGTCCTCTTCTTCTTCTTCTTCTTCTTCTTGTTTTGTTTTTTCTTTCTTTCTTTCTTGTGACGCCTCCACATTTTCCAGCCATCTGTCCCTAAAGATAAGGATTACTCATTCTCTCTCTGGCCGTTGTTTTTTCCTTTGTTGTCCTCCTCTCTCTCGTTTCTTCACAGATTTTTTTCCCTCCGTTTTCGCAGGTGGACTCTGAGCTGAGCTGAACTTTGCAGCTTCCAAACTTCTGCGAGAGCGAGTGAGCGAGGGAAGGAAGACAAAGACAGACGGAGAGAGAGAGAGAGATCTTTCTTATTTCTGTAACCAGTTTTTCTTTTGGTCAAAAACTTTTCTTCTTCGTCGCTCTGTCTGCATCACCAGCTCCAGCACAACAGCCAATCAGGCATCTGCCGCCGTCATGTCCGTCTTACCTCTTCTCAGCTGGACCGTCCTGGTCCTGGTGCAGAGCTGCACCTCGTCTATGGACCCGGCTTCTAAACCTCATCCACCGCCGCTTTCTCTGACCGTCCATCCTCACTACCAGCCGCTGCTGGACGCTGCCCCCAGCTCCCACTGCCCCTCCTGCGCCCTGGCGAGGATGAGGAGGAACGAAGGCGGCACGGGAGTGGAGGATTTGGCGGGGCACGAGCGAGAGGAAGAGGAGGCAGCTCAGCAAGATGTGGTGGAAGCGGTGAAGAGGCACATCCTGAACATGCTGCATCTCCAGGCTCGGCCCAACATCACTCGGCCCGTGCCGCGCGCCGCTCTCCTCAACGCTCTGCGCAAGCTCCACGTGGGGCGAGTGGCGGAAGACGGCAGCGTGCAGATCGAGGGGGAGGAGGCGGCTCGAGGGCGGGGAGGAGGTGGGGGAGGAGCAGCAGCAGCTGCGGTGGCGGCGTACCGGACAGGAGACAGCGACGATGCACAGGAGACGACAGAGATTATCACCTTTGCTGAGGCTGGTAAGTAAATATTGGACGTGTGTGTGTTTCAGCATCTTTTGACATTGAGACGTGTAAAACCTGTAAATGTGAGACAAAGACAATTTGTCACAAATTAAGGTTTTTTTAAGAATCGCATGGACGTCACATTCTTTATGTCAGTGACTGTCCTCATCACTAAATGTGTGTGTGTGTAATAAGAGACAAATCTGCTTGTTGAAATGGTCAGTGTTCACCTTTAATTCCACCTGCTTACTCATTAACACACACACACAAACACACACACACACACAC